GCTCTTCAATGCCGCCCCATCGCTCCCCCTAAACTTCCAACAAATTTTACTCACCTCCAAAACTATCTCTCCGTCAATCCCTATCCTCATTTCCTCTCCCTCAACATCGACAAAAATCGAAATCGCCATCTCCTTCCCTTCAAACCATCCCTTCGTCACATGCGACATCTCATCTCCGATTCCCCCAAATCTTACCCGCTCTCTCCGCGAGATGAGCTCCGATCGCTTCCCAGAAATCTTGGATTTCAATGAGCCGGTAAGCCGGCAGTCTTTCTCCTCGCTATCCCCAACGACGAGAGCGATCTCGCTGTCCACAGAAATGGATAGAAAGAACCCACCAGTAGGTTCTGGTCCGCGACAGAAGGTAGCAAGGGAAAAATCCCAAACGAGCTCTACGACACGGCGGCGATCGTTTGCAGATCTAAAGCGGCGATGTTTTGAACCCTTTCGCTTCCACGTGAGGTATGGACGGATACACAGACGAAGATGATCGGAGATCGCGTTGTCGTTGTTATTCGCCGGCGATGGTGACGGAGTAAGGAGAAGATCGGCGAGGAGGAAGACGCCGAGGGAGGTTCGGCTCCAGGTCAGGGTAATGGTGCCGAGATGTGTGGTGTAGATTGAAGTGATCTCGCCGGCGCAAGCTCTGCCGGCAGTAGTCGGCAAGCAGCGGACCATTCGGTTTAGGTTTTGAGTACAAGACCTGAATGTGGGAAATAAAGTTTGGGATTTATAAATATAGAACGAAAGGGTATTTTTGAAAATAGCAGTTATTTGGTTAGGAAAAGGTCTTAGTAGGAGTACTGTTTTGATTTAATATTTATAATTGGAAAGATTTACATACATAACATTTAAGTCCCATGTATTTACATATCTAATACCTAAACTTTAATTTTTAAAATTTATGTGTCACCTTAATTTAGGGGTGTAAACGAACCGAACACGAACGAACAAAGCTTGTGTTCGTGTTTGGTTCGTTCGAATATTTGGTTCATTTGAAATTCAGTTTGTTTGATATAAGCCCGTGTTCGAAATTATTCGTGAAGTTACTATTCGTGTTCGTTTCTTAACGATTGAACATGAGCCGAACACAAGCTGTTCACGAACAACGAACCAGTTTGACATCCCTAATATTAATAAATACCCTAAAAATAAAAACATAAATTTGTATTTTAATCTTCTCCGCCAATTCTATTTTTGCGCACTTTTCGCCTAAAATTTTTATCTGTATTTGAATTTAAGTTAAAATTAATTTGTTAAAATTTTAAATTATGTTACAGTATATGATTCGAATACGAACGAATGTATCACTGTTCGTGTTTTGTTCGTTTAACTAACCAAACGAAAAAAATTTATTCACGTTCGTGTCGTTTACTCATCGAACGAATCGAATACGAACTCATTGACGAACCGAACACGAACTGTTCCCGAACAATGAGCTTTTTTGACAGCCCTACACCTTATATATGCTTGAAAAGTTGTATTTTTTTTAGGATGGCATAAAATAAAGAATAAAGTTTAGGTTTTTATGTGTAAATAAATCGGCATTGATTGGTTACTATAAATTTTTTTGGGGGGACATTAACATACATCCCAACCAACTTTTGTATGTTTAAATATCTAATATTTAAATTTTGTTTTTTTATATTTATATCATAAAAAAACTTTTTATCTCACATAAAAAAAATATATTTTTATGAATAAAAATAAAAATTTCAGTGTTAGATATATAAATATATAGTAGATATGTAGGAATTTAGTGGCATGCATGTAAATCTTTCTTTTTCTTAAAATTTCATACCTCACACACAATTCTTTACAAATCTCTCCCCTAAATTTTTCTATTTACATATTACTTTGTTGTTTTAAATATAAACATAAAAATATATTTCACTTTTCAGGAATGATACTATCATTATTTATCTGTGATTTAAAAGATTTAAGTTCAATATGTATATTTATAAATTTGAAAGTTTAGGGGTGAGATATGTAAATACATAATACATATGTGCTACTTATGTAATAAATTACTTTCCTCCATTCTCAATCAGTCAGATATGGAATTCGGGAGGAATTGGGGAGTCAGAGGAGACCAGCGGGGCTGAACTTTCTGTTCTCATTCTCATTTCCCGGAAATCATGAGCTCAATAGGTATAAAACGAGGGATTATTGCGTGCGGACACCGCATGTATCTCTACATGCAGTGTCCGATCCTGACCGTAGATCACGGTGATCTACAGACAGGATTATTTCCGTTTAAAAAAAAAAAAAAATTTGGTGGGGCCCACTGAAATACACGGGACCGTAAATCAGGTGACCCGAGTCTGTTTGATCAACAAAACATGACTCCCTGCGTCCACATTAAAAAGCATTGTTATGCATTCAACACAAGGGGTGTAAACGCATCAGGCTCGGATCGTGTTCGGTTCGTTTATATTTCAAGTTCAAAACATGTGTTTATATTCGGCTCGTTTACTTAGGGAGCGGAACACGAGCCATTCACGAACAAGGAGTCGTTTTGACTAGGGGTGTAAACGAACCGAACACGAACGAACAGTGCTCATGTTCCTGTTCGGTTCGTTTGAAATAAAGTTTGTTTGTGAAATAGTTTGTTTGAAATAGACTCGTGTTCGAAATTGTTCGTGAAATATGTGTTCGTGTTCGGTTCGAATTTGTTTGAATTTGTTCGAATTGTTCGAATTGTTCGAATCGTTCGTGAGTCTGTTTGATCAACAAAACATGACTCCCTACGTCCACATTAAAAAACATTGTTATGCATTCAACGCTAGGGGTGTAAACGCACCAGACTCAGATCGTGTTCTGTTCGTTTATATTTAAAGTTCAAAAAGTGTGTTTGTATTCGGCTCGTTTGCTTAGTGAGCGGAACACGAGCCGTTCACAAATAAAGAATCGTTTTGACAACCTTAATCACGTAGCCATAATATGTTAAGAATTTGGGGCAAGATTTAAAACATCATTTGAATCTAATTTAATAATTTTTATTCTATTTTCTTAATTAATACTTTTAATTGATTATAAATCTTTGTAGCCTTATAGTCAATTAAATTTTTAAAAAATACTACT